CATGCGCCACCACGGGCCGGCTCTCGGACTCAACCACCCCACCACGTTTGGCACCGAGCCTACCAAACCTCAACCAAGTGGGAGTCCTATCGCGGTGACAGCAAGAAAGGTCTCGACTGCCTCAAAGAAAACGTCAACTCGGCCCTTGTTCTTCTCCAAGCCGAGCCCTTGCTGCATATGGCCACCCTCGATCTAGAGGGCTGCACCGCCGCTGGTATCCAGGATATTTATGGCGACATTTTTTCCGACCTGGACTACCTCATCTACGTCAACGACATCATGGTTGACTGGATCTTACCGTGCTTGAGAGGTGACCTTGCCTCTCGTTTTCAGCGCGAAAAATCACGCCAACGCATCGTCTTGGGCGCCTGGTTCAAACAAATGGGCGCCCTCTTCCTCCAGACCACTCGTCACGACATTACCCAAGCCTCTCAGGCTCTTCGCGACCAACGCATCCGCACGGCCGACGACTTTCCTGTCTACCGCTCCTCCATCACTGCCGCCGTTGATACCCTTCGCATTGAGGGCGCCTACTCGGCTACCCTCGTCATCGCCCAGCTGGTTGATGGCCTGCCTTCGAAACTCAGGGACGTAATTGCAAACCTGTATCAACCGTCTTGGGATTTGGGCAAGTTCTTTGAGGTGGTTATTAGAGGCACAATCGATGTCCGGTTCTGCGGGACCAAGGACATGGTTGCTGACCTTCTCACCAAGCTGCTCAATGGACCGAGCCATCGTCGTTTGTGTGACATGCTCTTCCGTTCTCAGCTTGAAGGGGAGTATTAGAGGCACAATCTGAGACGGTATACTTTACCACGTTGTGTGTCCTCTGGTACTTGATGTTGTCCCACCTTGTTGTGTAACATCTTGCTGTACCATCTTGGTGTATCATCTTGTTGTGGCATCTGTTGGTCCCAACAGATTGCTGATATCGCCTCCACCTGTCTTCAGTGTGATAGTCCATTCTCTGTCTCCACTGTGTGTGTGTGTGTGTTTCCACCTGCTATAAATGGGAGCGATCTCCCTGGATCAGTACCATTTTCCTTCTTGACCTCGGTCGTTCCACTTCCCTCCTTCTGTCTTGTTCTGTCTTGTTCCTTCGCCTTGCTTCAATCCATGTTCTCGTGTACACTTCGACTGGTTGGATACCTCTGTGACAATCGCCTTGTCCACACACATTACACTGTACTGGACATATACCTTTAATAATCCTCGCCGCCGGACTCAGTGGCCATGTCCGCGGGGCAAGCAAGCGAG